ATACAACCTAAAAGGTAGTAATATTAATTTCAGAAATAACTAGAGTAAATTTAATGAATGCTCATCAAACTTTACTTCATATTATTACATGCTCACCGAACAAAAAGACGTAACCCATTGCTCATCCATCTTTTCAATTCCGTCATCCTTAACTAACAAACTATGACACGTGGAGGCGAATTCCAGCTTGGCACATAACACACTTTCAATAATGCCAAAAGTATGAAAAGCCCGATGCATCATAAAATTGAAATGCAAAATCGCCTCAAATCCCATGAACCCTAAAAATTGTCCCCACAATCCCAGCTGAAATCTTCTTTAATATCTTATATATTTCTTTTTGTTAGATTTTGTACCTCAAATTAGTGTGGATTTTTAAAAAAATATTGTTTCCTTATTTTCACGTGATTTTATTGGAAAAATATTATTTTGTTTATTCCACATTATTTTTACATTATTTCCATCTTTATGATATTTTTAGGATTTAGTATGTCCCTATAAATATGTGGCTCTTCATTCAGTTTAGGTAAAGAATTATTGTTCAGTTCTTTGTATTTTCTCCATATATTTTTTTTTGAATAAAACATCACTTGCTCTGCTAATTTCTCATCAATTTCTTTACTTTAATGTTGTTTCTATCGTTATGATATTGTCTACATCACATATTTCATATTGTATCATTAAATCTCAATTCTTGCAACACCTTCAAAATAAACAAGTGGTATTAGAGCAATTCTGGTAACTTTCATGTTCCTAACACTTGTTGAGTAACTTTCTTCAATATTGAAAGTTTACAGACACATTAAACCCCTCTGTCATTTCACTGTTCTTCATTAATTTCTGTTGTATTTTAGGGCACAAAGGTCCTATTGCTTTTCTCATTTTATCCCTTATTGATTGTATCCTCTTCATGAAGCTTATATGTAAATCAATCAACAGTGTTAAAATGGACTTTTCTCTATACACCAACATCACATTGTTGAATACTTCACAAAGATTATTTAGAACTATATCACTTTCCACCTTTGTCAGAAAATGAGATTTACTCCACTCACTAGGATGCTTCTTCATTAACCAACCATACGCAACCTTGCTCACCTTCTCAATTTCATCCATCCAGAATTTCCAATAAGGAACTTGTTGACTTTGCAGTCCTCCATAAATAGTCTTTCAAAGCCAGACCCTTAAAATTAGCCCTAAATAAATTAGTGTACATGTGTCTGACACAAAATCGATGTTCAGCCTCTGGATATAAATTCTCTATCACGTTCTGTAAACCTTTTTGCCAGTCAGTCATAAAGTCCACTCATTGTTATTAACAATCCTCAAATCTTCGCCCAGATGTTGTATAAATCACCTCCAAGCAGTAGCATTCTCTTTCTCCACTAAAGCATATGCTACTGGATAAATACAATCGTTAGCATCTAATGTTACTGCCATGAGCATCTGACCTCCAAAGATCCCTTTCAAAAACTTTTATGTAACCCTAAAAGTTGTGCACAACCTGCCATGAACCATTTTTTGCAAGATTCTAAACAATTATATATTCCTTGAAACTTGTTGGCATTCATGGCAATTATACATGTAGAATCGGTATTGGTTCTCAAGCTGCAAAAGACCTAAGCAAACCAAACTGGTACTCATCAGAACCCTCTATTAATATCTTAGCATATCTTCTAGCCCTCTAGGTAATAACATTGTTGATTGTGAACTTCAAATCATCAATCACAGCCTTTTTAATCAATCTAGTCTTCCAATCAGTATAAACTTTAAAGTCTCCATATACCTCCAGGTAATTCTCTTTTTCGTTGGAAGAATAATCAGTATGTAATTCCTCCTCGCTAAGACAATAGTCATCCAACAACCCTAACTCCTTTGTACTTGTAGCCTCGAATTCAAGTGTCGAGTCTGCATTAAATCCTATCACAATGTGTTCAGGTGCATTCGTGTTAAACTGAAAACTATCATCATTAACCTCATCATCTAAATCTTTGAAGTGGCATTGAAGAGGTACTAATTCCTCTTCGTCAAAAGTCGGGTCTGCATTGAAAATAATATTTTAGGGTTTTCCAAATATCTATACATATCAGATACAATATAAGCAAATAAAAGATCATGAATATGGTGCCAAAAAAAAAAAAAAAAACGGAATTTATTGTCCCAAATAAAAAAATGCAGATTTAATTAAAAATGATAAAAATGTGATTTCAAAGGAAAAAAAAATGAAGCGACAACTACAAAGTTGTGGTCCCATGAGAGAATAGTCAGAATCCAATGAAAAGTGTAATAAATTTACCACGTGGAGTTCCCTCCTTATCTATCACCAATCTTGTTTCTTCCACAATGATATTGCGTTCCATACCCAAGGCTGGTGGGTCTTCTTGTTTTTCTCAAGATTTAGTAGATTGAGATTAGTCAAATTGGAATAAGCTCTTGTGGATTCATATTTGGAAGAATATTGATGCAGATGAAGCGTAAACAAGGGTTCCTTGTTGTCTTCAAAGCAAAGGATATATATATTTTTTTAATGAAAACGTGAGTTATAGAATTAAAGAAAGAATGAATTGCCATAGGCTTTTCACACTTTTGACATTATTGAAAGTGTGTTATGTGCCACGTTGGGATTTGTCTGCCACGTGTAATATTCCGTTAGTTGAGGATGACAGAAATTAAACGAGTGACAAACGGGTAATCAATTGAAAAGATGGATGATCAATGGGTTATATTTTATTGTTCGATGAGCAAGCAGTAATATGAAGTAAAGTTTGATGAACATTCACTAAATTAACTCGAAATAACTACAATCACAATAATCCAACCTGAGGAGTTGGAGGATGATGAAGATACAAAATATAGCAAGTTTGAGTGATTATATCACTTGAGGCTCCCTCATCATCGGAGCTGTAGTAATATTATTCCTAAACTGAGTTCAATCAAACTCTATCCAAGCCATGATGTCGCTTTCACTACGCATATTGATTGGTATAAACTCATTCGTGGTAGCCAGCTTCATTCGTCACGAAATAATCAACAGTTTTCAAACCGATCCTTGCATGATTGCCATCAGGGGTCATTAAATTCGTCCACAATCAAACTCGATGGCCACTAGTGGAGCAACAGAAGGATTTGGAGAGTTGGTGAATAGGCCAAAGAAATGCCCCCAACAAGGCATCCTTGAGGACAGGGTAATAGGAAATGAGAGTTGTGGAGTCATGTGAAAACGCACATTCAAAAAATGTGCTTGTCGAAGCTACCATTGTGGAAGGTTTTGTGCAGATTCTTGATTTGAA